TGAGGGACCCTGTGGCGTTGGATTCAAGCTGTGCTGGCTCTCTGCAGAATGGTAGCCGAGTCTGCCCCCTAGAGGCTAAGAGCAACTCCAGCAGTAAGAGCAGAACTGGGAAGTCAAAACATCACACCCTTATTGATAGCTTACCACCCCCTCACCAGAGGCTGGAGTGTGGGAGGCATGAAGTTGGCTGAGTGCATGGGAAGGCTAAATTGCTAATGTGATGAATCAGATTGAGACTCTGGATTAGTCTCTCTTAAAAAATACTGACACATGGAATTTGTAAAAATGTTGCCCTTACAAATCTTATATGTGTAATTTATGTGTATAATACTGCTTAGTCACCAATATCCTGTTTGCCTTATCTCCCACACTTCCCACATATTTCCAGCCCCTAAGGACCTGTGTGTATCTTTGTATACACTGGAGCGTCTAGTGAGAGAAGCTATACAGCACATCTCTCAACACCTGTCAGGAGAATTGAGTTGAATTACACCTCCGTGAAATTTCAGAAATCTGAAACAAAGAAGACATCCACAGGCTTTCAAACATAAAAACAGGTTTCATTAAATGTTTTCCAAAAAACAGGAACAGAACGTCGTCAGAGTTATCATCAAGTCTGAAAACTGGAAGTCAGAGGAAAAATGCTTTCTGAAGGAATATCATTTCCTGCCTAGAATTCTATTCTCAAACTACCAAAGAAAACGTATGAGAAGAGAAGCAAATATTATCACATATGACATGCAAACTTTCCAAAAAAGATACTACCTTATCCTCCCTCCCAGAGAGCTCTTAAAGGTGTGCTCCACCAAGACAAGCGGCAGGTGAAGGAAATCACCAAAATCACAGCAAAGGAAATTCTCGGGTGCACAGCTGTGTGCCGGGCATAGAAAGCAGCCTGTTCAGATGGAAGCTGCTCAAAAGACTCCAGGAAAGATTTACCCAAGAAGACGACACCGGTAGAACTGTGTTTAGACACATTGAGAAGGGGTTTAAATAACAGGGGAGAATTAGGGGTTGGACCAGTGATAAGTACCACAAAGTGTAACTAAATAAATGGGGGGTGGGGAGAGGACGTGATTATCAACTCCTGTGGAGTGTAAAAAGCCTGTGAAGGAAAGGGAAAAATCATGATCCTTGAGTGACTCGGTTGTGAACAGCATGAACACAATCATAACAATGTGAATGCAGAAAGCTGATATAACCCCATATGATATAACTCTATTGGGAGGATGGGGGAATGGGAAGTGGGCACATGCATGTGGTGTTGATCAGGGTGGGTTAACAGAGCTGAACCTTTGTCTGCCATATTGGAAAGTCAGTAGGTGATTCCTGACATGGACAAAACCAGGAAGTATCAATATCCCCATCTTATTTAGAGCTATGGAGGTAAACAGCAGAAGAATCATCTAATAAGACCTGAAAGCGATTGCCTCAAGGGAACAGGAAAGGGGTAACAAACTGATATTTTTGATACATGACTATTTGATTCTTTAAGCTATGTAT